AAAGCAATTGCGTGTAATAAAAGGCCGGGCACAAGAAAATTTTCTACCTTTTTGCGGAAGTATAATGATATACCTACGTGAAGCCCTTAAACCAAAAGTATCTTAAATGAAAAATTGTCACAACGAAGGAAATAAAGCTAAAGTAAAAATGCTCTTTTTAGACACTGTGCTCCGTCCAACTTAAGACACTGAAAAACCAACATACAAATTCATAATAAAGTATAATATCCATCTAAAAGCATTACACCAAATTCCTGTAAATCTTGACCCTCATAACTCTAACCCATTTTATTTATTTATTTTTTTTCCAATTCATGTGGTCAATTGATAAATAATGTGTAACTTCCTAAAATTGTCAACTCCACCAGCTTGTTGTTAAACCTCCACCGATGTCTTTTGAACATAGTTAAAGATGACACAAGCAGCTAATACTTGAACTAAGATTTAAAAATAAAAACAAAAAACAAAATAAAATCCATGATATCTGATAAATCCATACAGTATACACCACGATTTCAATACAAACAGAGCTATCTAGATTCTCATCAGCATTAAGGGCTTATTAGTACATTCAGCTTAAACCAAAATAGTCTCCAGTTGGCTATAATAAACACCACAAAGGAAAACAACACAACACAACACACACATTTTCCCCTTCATCATCTCAAGATATCTCTTTCCTCTTTTTTACCCNTAATAGCTGTAGCCCTTGACAAACATGCCCTTTTTGGCCTCCTCGGATTCACCTTCACCCGTGTATTTCCCGAGCTGCGCAAGTGAGTTGGCCTTGGCTCGGATAAGCAAAGCCTCTTGAGCTGCCTTCACATTTTCCGGGCGGCCCCCCCAAGTCTTGAGGCATGTGTTCTGTAGGGCCCGCGCATACGAAAACGACACGTGCCACGGGTTCGGGCCCTGGTTCATGGCATTAAGATTCTGTGTGGCTTCAACCTCCGATTGCCCACCGGACAAGAACTGCCCATGAAAAAAAATTACCATTTTAAGATTTTTTTTTTCGTGCAAAGTATTAATTAGTCGATCATGAAAACCGTATATAGACTCTCGTGTAGAAGGCTAATAGAGTGTTTGATAATACATATATGCATCTATCTGTACAAACTTTTCTGTTTAGAGTAAGTGTTTGTTTTTTGTATTTCCATACAAGTCGAGATGAAAAAATGTAAAATGAATGTACATCACAAATGCTTATAGACTGTGTTTGGTAAGCATATAAGCTACCTTAGACCTTATTTGATATTAGCTTATAAGCTTTCTGTATTAAAATAAGCTTGGCTTGATATGACGGACTTTTTTAAACAGCTCAAGCTTATCTCATAAGCTTCCTTGGGTAACTTTTCAAATAAGCCCATTGAAATTTTTATTTCAGCTAATTTTACCAAACACTTTAATCATATAACCTAGCAGTTTTCAGCCAAAAGTGATAAGCTATCAGCTATAAGTTCGAAATTCACTTAAAATCTATAAGCTAATTTATCAGCTAGGTTCACTAACATGTAATATGTAACTAACATAAGGGAGTAACTAAAACTGAAAAGCCAGAATTTATATATAAGCTTTATGGCAAGATTTCTGGTCCTAATTCTGAACTGTGCAAACACTATCAACTTACTGTAAAAGCATGAGCCTTTTTCACAAGTCATATAGTCCAAATTTTGTTACCGAAGCACAGAAAAGCTTGAAAACCGAGACAAAAATTAAATTGCTGTGTATAAATACGAAAACTTGCCATGATTCCAGGGACAGCAGGGGGAATCCTCCTGTGAAGGAGCTTGAGGGTATAATCGGAAACTTGCTCGGGCGTGGCCTTGTCCTTGCACTCGGCGCCAGGTGTCACCATGCTGGGCTTGAGAAGAATGCCCTCAAACAACACATTGTTCTCTGCCAAGTAGAAGAAAACTTCGGCCCACACCTTTTGGGCCACCTCGAAAGTCCTATCAATTCCATGCTCACCGTCCAAAAGAATCTCCGGCTCCACAATTGGGACCAAACCATTGTCCTGTATTTTTATCAACCAAACAAAACATTATGCAAACACAAGTCTATGTATCCAATGTAACTTCATTTCCTTTGAAAAAAATACTGTTGTATGTATGTGTGTGTATATATATATACCTGAGAGATAGCGGCATAACGGGCCAGGCCCCAAGCGGCCTCTTTCACGGCCAGTGCAGATGGCCCATTGGGAATGCTCACAACAGTACGCCTAAATTATTAAAAAAAAAAATTACAACTAAAATTTGTTCTTTATGGAGATTGAAAATTAGAAATATCAAATACCATTTGGCGAAACGAGCACCCTGTTGATAATAAGCCGCGGAGCGCGAAGCAAGGCCATCGAGACCTTGGCACCACGACTCGTCATTCGACCCAGCAAGTGGGACCAAACCCTGTTATAATCAATATCAAGTAATGAAAAAAAAAATATAATCGATCATTAGCTTAATTTTTGTTTAATCGTAAGTATTTATCACCTTGTCGACTTTAATTCCAGGAACAATGTTCTGCTCGACAAGAACATCGACCATTTTTTTGCCATCAGTGGTCGATTGGTAAAGAGTCTCCTCAAAGAGAATAGCGCCCGAAATGTAGTTTCCGAGCCCAGGAACAGTGACTAGTAAGGTTCGGTACGCCTGGCGATTGGCCTCAGTGTTCTCTAGGCCTATAGAAGCCAGGCGCTTGCCACACGTGGCATTTGACTCGTCCATGGCAAGAATCCCGCGCCCTGGAGAGGCTACGGTTTTCTGCATACCAAACACTCATCAACATTATTGTATAATTTTTAATATTGACATTTTATTACTCGACGTTAAGAAAAGACGATGAGAGTCTCTACGACTTGAATACGAAGGTTTGAATTTATTGCGTGAGATAATCTTTGTGTCCAATTGGACCTTTGGATTCCTTGTTTTGATTTGTTAGGTGCTATTGTTTTTTACACATGGTTAGAGCTTTTAAACGCAACGAGTCACTTAGTTAAGGCTCGAGCTGGGATCGACTCGAGTTTGATTTTTGAAACATTGGTTATATACAACTTCAATTTTGATCAATTAATGTTATAGTTCACCTTGTAGTACATTGGTTATATGCACCAACAATTCAGTCACGAGCCTGGCGAGCGTCTGACAACTTGTAGAACATTGGTCATGTACACCAACAATTTTGAACTCTTATTTTATTGGTACAACTAACTGATAGTTCATAAGTTAGTTGATAGCTTATGAGTGAATTTCGTACTTATAGTTGATAGCTTATGACTAATGGTTGGAAAACTAGCTAGTGTGATAAAAGTATTTGGTAAAATTAATTGATAAGCCAGATGAACGGACTTATTTGAAAAGTTATTTAAGGAAGCTTATGAAATAAGCTCTACTCATCATCATACCAGAGCACACTTATTTGCTTATAAGTCAACCAAAGCATACGTATTTGTTTATAAGTCAACCAAATAAGTTATAGTTAACTTCTGCTTACCAAACACACTTATTTGCGCCTAACGATTCTTGGGACATTGGTTATATACACCCACAATTTTGTTCACTTAATGTCATTTTACTAGGCATGTGCTAGCATAAGAGAGTGTTTTGCAAGCAACTAAAAATAAGTTCATATGTTTAAGATTGCGAAGCTTGTGTACTATACGCACCGCAGTCTTGACGAGCTCATCGGCGTACGATGATGCGCGGACAGTGAAAGCTGAGGTGGCGGCTTTAGGACGGACGACAGCGTACGGCTGGCGGAGGAGCGTTTGGCCCTTGACAAATTCGGACTTGTCGAGGACTGGCGATGACCTGAGGAGAGATGCTGAGGCCATTGATACAGCTTCTAATATTTTTTTGTGGCTCCAAACACGGAACAGAGATAAGAAGCTAATAGTTTGTCTGTTTTTTTGAAATCTTATCTCCACACACATTGAAGAGCGTGTGAGTATATATAGGTGCTAAAAGATGTCCCGTTTGAGGCTGTCAATATTGGGCCAATCACCGGCCGCCATGTGGATGTGATAATTTGTCTCATTTGGCGGGGTGCTTCAACTGGCTCAAAGCTTTTACGGAACCATGCTGCACGTATGTAAGAATTATGTAGATAGGATAGGATAGGGTTATTTATATTAGCATTTATTATATTGGGCCAATCAGAATGTATTTTATTATTTTATTATAAATAACAACACAATTTATACTAGCATTTACGAAAATAGTAGTACCATATGAAATTTAAAAATAGCATTATAAATAATTAAAAATAGTATCAAATTCTATTCTTCCATAAGTAAAAAGATAACAAAACAAATATAACATTATAAACAATTAATAATAGTGTCAATAAGGACCACTCGGAGTTAAATATGGATTATTGTTGGGATACGACCCAGTGACAAGAGTTTTCAATAGTTAAATGGGCTTCATTAGTGGGCTTCGTTATATTATTGATAATTGACCCGGCCCACATTCGATAATGGTGAATCAATTCAAAGTTCGCGTCCTTTTATGAAATAATTGAATATATGAAATCATTTATGATCTATCTGAATATGAAAACGCTCACAAAAAATGAATCATAATTCACACACACACACACAGACACACACAAGATATAGAAAACGATGCAAGATCACTTTCTNGCTGTGGGACATGTGGCGGCTTGGGGATTGGATTGGATTTTCTCTGGTTTGGAGATGGGGTCAGATTTTGAGGTTTGGGTGACAGGCGGCGATCATATGGGCTCGGGCTTGGGTCCAGTGACTTTTGAATGGTCGATAGATATTTTGCTATTGGAATTGGTGTTACTAAATGAGGCCTTTTGTGATTTGTTCGAGGGAAGGAGGAGGAATTGGGTTCGGTTGGTAAGGTGTTCGATGAAATGCCTCAGCTGGCAGACGAGGGAATTGTCATCTTGGAGGAGGTGTTATTGGTAGTTGTTTGAAAAATGGTGGTGTTAGTGGCTCATTGAATGCGTGGAAAATGTGGTGTTCTGTTGTATATTTGGGAAGGTGCTTTTGTGGGAAAATATGAACCTGGGATTTGGCATAAAGAAGGCTGATTGGCTTGTTACGGTGAAAATTTTATTGTTAAAGGTCTTTTGTGGAATTCTTGTGCTGTGTTGTGCTTGGTGGTATGCATTTCGAGGAAGGCAGTTTGGTAAGGTGGATATTTTTTGAAGTTTTGCAAAACAGTGATCAATTTGGGTATACATTTTCGGTGCTGTCCGCCGAGAGAGTTATGCTGAACTTTCTTTCTCTGTCAAACCGGTCCATTTGCCTTTGTACGTGTCTCGATTTTCCCGCAATTGCATGAACATATGGAGCTCTGCATGAATTAGTGAAGAGTCTCATGAAGATTATGCTTCTCTGGTGAGGTGAATATTTTTACCACTTTTATTTCAGCATTGGAATAATATATATCGTTCGTCTTTTATCCATTTGTAAGTGGTGTTGTTTGATGCTAAAATGATAATTGGTGAAAATTTCGACTTCATGTGTAATTGTTCATGTTAACTAGGTTTATGAATAATAAATGCATGTCAACGATGGTAAAGAGCTTAATCTGTCAGGTGCAAACCTATCAAAATATGGAATCTATAATTAGAATACAAATAAACTACCATTGAACTTAACTGATTTTCTAGTTTTAACATATATCTAAGTGAGCAACACAGGAACTTGTGACAAATTTGACACTCTTAGAATGCTGAACTATTTATACTGGCAAAGATTTCTATTGGATGGTGTAACGGGTCGTTGATTTTGATTATTCCTTTTCTGTTTTCACATTGATAGTTTGATGTCCCAGTTGTATTTACTTCTGTTACAGAAGAAAAATTAACATAATAGCAATGGCACGGACTTTGCCCATACGAAATCTTGTGCATTTTTAAGTACAAATCTCTTTCTGATTAACTACAAATAAATAGCATATTTTCTAGGTGAATAAATATATAAAGTAAAAGCAAAATGCCGACTTCATTGTAACATAAAGGCTGAAAACCATCATTTTATCAAGTGGTTGGTTGTTGAGCTATAAGAATTAGCAGCAAAGACACCTCAAAGCAGTGATTAGTTAAGTGTTTTTATTCTTTCGAAAATAAAGTGTCTTTATCATTGTATTAGATATGTCAATATATATACAGCAATCTTGATTTGAGATAGTGTTAGCCATTAGGTGATATACCTTTAATCGATCAGATGAAGATCTTACATAAACTGACTGAACTCTGAAACTTGGCCAGGAATAAATCTCGAGAGCCACATTGGAGATGGACCCTGGTTTACATTCAGGTCGAGACATACATGCTCAAATCCTCTGCTTTATTGATTTTATTTATTTATTTTCCCAATGTGATTTTGTCATATCATATTATACGGATCAAGTATGTGCACATCCTCTACAAGAAACATTAGGTAAAAATGTACGTTTGTTTTGTGAAATTAGAACAGATAAATTCCCATTTATTATTGTAGTGAAGCTAATAATTCAGGGGCATGATGTTATCATACGACTTCTACATATGAAATCTGGATTTCTGGAGCAAATTTTTGGCGTTTTAGATCCATATGCTTCAACTTTATGAATTTAATACATTCAATATTCTTTCTAAGTTCAAATCTCATTTTCCCAATATTCCTAGTCAATTCATTTTAGATCATTTTGTATCACCAAATAATTGCATTATTTGTTGCATGACAACATAGAATATTTTGGTGAAAATCTTCTCACAAAGTATCTGGTATGAATCTTTCATTTAAAACCAATGGGAACACAATTTGTTTTTTTTCTAAATTATTATATTAGGATCCAAAACATTCACAGAATTAAGATAATTTTGTACAGATTGACAGAAAAAAGTTCTTTTGCCTAGACAGCATAATAAACTTTGACAACTGTTTTATTAATTAGTCCCCTGCAGCTATAAATATCAAACAGTCTGTTCTATGATCCATGAAAAGGATGGGAAAAGTGGTAGTATCTTAATTGCCATCACAGTCATGGGGGGCAGCCATTTGCATGTTCTCCTATTTATTGCCAATAAAATTTCCTTCTTTCCCTGTATTGACAGCAAAATTCAATTTATACATTTGAATATTAAAGTTTCACTTCCAGCGTGCAGCTTAAATTTGACTTTATTACATCTGTCCCTGTGCATCATGAATTACTTGATTCTATTTATTTTTACCATATTTCTTATAGTGCCAGATAAGTTATTCTTGAAATGAACTTGCATTTTTTAAAAGATAAAGAAATTGTACAAACATCTGGCCCGAACAAACAAACTTATACATGGCAAGTACGTACAAGGCAAATGGTACAGAGAAAATTCATCCCCCTGTCAGTAACCTTTTTGAAAATTTATTCCGAAATATGAAAATGTTTAATAGCATTTTGCATCATAGTAAAAAAAGAAGCAAGCAAACAATCTAAAACACGCATTTATGCATGAGGAATGGCGGGTGGGAGAGGTGGGAATCCAAACTTGGGGTGGTGTAAGTACTTTGGAGGGATTTTAGGGAAAGGAGGAAGCTTTGGTAGAGGCGGGCAAGGCTTCTTTGTGATTGGTGGGATTGGATAAATCGGAATTGGTGGTGGCAATGGCTTAGTGATTGGTGGGCTTTCCACTGGCAGCTTGTAAACCGGTGGTTTTTCTACTGGCGGCTTGTAAATCGGTGGATTTGGCTTGATGGGTGGACATGGCTTCTTTGTGATTGGTGGGCTTTCCACTGGTGGCTTGTAAACCGGTGGCTTCACCACTGGCGGCTTGTAAACCGGTGGCTTTTCTACCGGCGGCTTGTGAATCGGTGGATTTGGCTTGGTGGGTGGGCATGGCTTCTTGGGTGGATTGTACACAGGCGGCTTGTAAATCGGCGGATTGAACTTCGGCGGTTCCTTCACAGGCGGCTTGTAAACGGGCGGCTTCTGCACTGGCGGCTTTGGCTTGGTCTGTGGGCATGGCTTTTTGGGCGGCGTGGAAATCGGTGGCTCCTTCACTGGCGGCTTATAAGTTGGCGGCTCCTTCACTGGTGGCTTCTTCACCGGCGGCTTGTAAACTGGTGGCTTCTCCACCGGCGGCTTGGTGGGTGGGCATGGCTTCTTGGGCGGCTCCACCACTGGCGGCGGCTCGTAAACAGGAACTGGCGGCTCAGAAACAGGGACTGGCGGCGGGAGTGGCTTATAGAGTGGGGCCAAAGGGGGAAGGAGCCAAGGGTGGTCAAAGTGTTTCAAAGGTGGCAAAGGGGGGTATTTGAAGTATGGCCAAAAGAATTTGGAAGTGCATAGCGCGGCTGAGAACCGAATGTTTTCTGAAGGGGTAAAAATGTAATTTTTGCCGTCGGCTTTGGGCTTGAGTGCGATTTTGGAGGCTTCGAGGCCGTTGTGGGCCGGGCAAGGGATGGCGGCCGCATTGTGGAGTTGAGCGTAGCATTCGTGCTTGAGTTTTGGCCCATTTTGAATGATGTCTTTTGGGAGAGAGACCTTGAACTTGCCTTGCTTGTCGAGTTCGCCTGATCCGACTCTTTTCATGTCCCCATTCTTGAGCTTGCAGTCGATGGTCACGTGTAGACCTATGCATAAAAATCGAAACCGATTAACTCGGATAAGTATAGAAAGTGGGACATTATTAGAAGTATGAGCTAATGTTAATTAGAGTGTTTAGATGGGTCATATTTTAACTATGACTGCGGTCGACTCGCCTAACAGATAGACTGTTTCACACAAAAATTAATACCGGTCATTTTTTAACTATAAGTGATCGACTTGCTTAACAGTTAGATTGATCTCACACGAAAATTCGTATAAAATGTAATAATACACTTGGCATGCATGGCCATAATGAGTATGTAAAAAATGTGGGTTGAATTAAGTACCTGAAAATGCCTGACTTGTCTTGAAGTTATTCTCCTTGCAGTCAGCACACTCGCCAGTGCCGACAACTTGAAACATTGTCTTGTCATCATCTGCACTGCACAAATCTACCGAGAATAAAATTAATAAAGGCAATAAAAATAAACCATAAAATGGTTTATGACCCCTCATTTTGGACCCTATTCACAGCTCCTCAGTTATGTCAAGAAAGGGGAAAAAAAATGACAACATCAAAAAGAAACTGAACCCCAAATGAGAAGCTATAGTAATATTTATAAGACACTAATGAAAATGCTATTGATTCTTGAATGATTTGAGTAGCAAACGTTTGAGCATATGTACATATATATAGTCATTCTAAGGGAAATTGTTATATTTTGCTTAGGTGTAATCATACCGACATAATCTTAAATGATATCACATGAGTTTAGGTCCCATTTGATCACGACTATTTTTTTTTTTTTTTTGAAATTAAACTGATAAAGATCAACGCACATGATACAGGACATGTGGCAGACGAGTTTTGAACTATTTTGAGTATTAATGTTCTAGTGGTTTTTTATTTTTTTAATTTTGATTTATTTTTTCTATTTTGTTAAGGATTTGAAACCTTTACAATTTACAAACACCTGCAAGACATTGGTTGGAGACATTATTTTAAGTATATTCAGATTTCATATTCTCGAGAAAATAAATAAAGTTTTATTTCGTTAAAAGTATATTTATCTTTTTACGATTTATTGTTCGGTATTAGACTAGAATCCATATAAAATTGGGATAGAAACAGAATAACTTTTAGCAGTGGCCACATGCATTATCTTGATCTAAAGGCCATGTATCTTCATTCAATGAGAACTCAACTGCACAGTTTAGATTTATTTTTATTTGATTTTATTTTTCTGTATGTATTAACAAACTCAATTTACCACCTCCATCAAAAGACAATTTTCACAAAAGATTCAAATGAATGAATAAATAATGTATATTGTGGTGGTTGGGGCTGTGGGGTTATGTTAGATATGGTTGAAAGTTGAAATGCTAAATGACATATATTGACATTATTTATTTCTACTTTTTCAATTATTGATGGTCATTTTCCTTTTTCCATTTACACGGATTGAAAGCAAAAATAAATAAATAAATAAATAATTTAGAATAAGAAAAAGGACTTAATGAGATGATCTGGAACATTTATTACACTGTTGAGTCAAATAAAACCATGTCGAGCTCTAGCACCAGTAAAAAAATCGAACTCGGCTTGACCCGTTTGTAGACGTATTATAAACCGTACGATTTCAAGATGTTACTATATGAACCGTAGGATTCAAGATGTTGAATATTTAACTTAGACTGAATACAGACAGATTAATAATATTCAATAATTAAGGTTACCATTTGAAAAGATATCCAACTAACTGAGGATGCAATGTTATAAATACAGCTACAACTCCCACGTGTAGGATAATAATACTAATAATGAAAATGATAATGATAATAATTTAAAATTTATCTTGAAATTTTCAATTCTAATTATTTGTATCTTGTAAATATTTGTTTACACCATATGTAGTACATCCTGTCAAGGTGTGAAAGAACACAGTAATTAGAATTAATGTGCTAGATTTCGTGATTTGTGGAGACATAATATGTTAATATCCATTAATCTTACAGCATTATTTGCAAGGGGCTGGAGACTTTGAAGAACAAGTGTTTTAATGAACACCTTGACCAGAGTACGTAGTAGTAATGCTCCTCTTAAAAGGGACAAATAATTGTATTTTTCAATTTATATATACACTTTAATAATAAAAATATATAAAAAGATGATTTTTACAATATAAATTATATTAGAAGCTCCACCTTGCTCAACTCATTTGCATATGAAGCCTTTACATATTCGACCCACAATAATGAATAATGACTTGTATTTACACATTAATCATTTTTTTGCTTGAATTGTGCTTTACTCAATCGGGATAATATATTGTACGCCTCAGTGTTACTTCTTGATTTATCTTTCATAAATTTGGAAATATGCGTCTTAGTTTGTTGTTTTCACATACTGACTTCTTTTNAAAAAAAAAAAATCCAATTTAGAGGGTTTGAAGTGCACGTCAAGTTAGGGAAAATACATAGTATAAATTACATTCATTGATTAGGCTGTAGTCCAAATGTGGATGACATTTCTCCATGTAATTTGTTAAGTTAAGGATATCTATTGAATTTGGTGGAGTTGTAAATGCAATGATGAAGGACCTTCAGTTCCATTTGATATGAGGTAGTTGAATCTTGCATGATGGGTTGTCATTTTAATTTATTTTCGAAAAAAAAAAAAGAGTAGCAGTATTCTAGAAAAAATATCATCATAAACATCATTACAAAAAAGACTTAATTTTTCTTTAAAAAAAGTCTCCTGTCCCTAGCCAAGATTTTTACACGTGTGTAAAAATGTTAAATCCATCAGAACTTTGTCAAATATTACTTTCTCAAATATTATATGTATATATGTTCCATGAATGTCTTGAAAAGAAAATCATAACCAATAACAATTAACGCACATCTCACTCGGAGACAATATATATACAAGTAACTAGAGCAAAGGCAGTAAGTTGATGTTATAACAATTAATATAACTAGAGCAAAGACAATATATATAACAATTAAAACAAACAAAATTGTTCTGATCTTATAGTTCGTATAAAAAAGTAGTAAGTTGAGAGGAAAATCAAATGGCCGAAAGCCCGTTCGCATCAAAAAAGCAGTAAGTTGATGTTATTGAGGAAAATCAAATGGCCGAAAGCCCATATAGTTCGCATCAAAAAGCAGTTGATGTTATTGAGGAAAATTTTCGCGGGAGCAAATGGCCGAAAGCCGCAGTGGTATGAAGGAGGCTCTGCACTCGTGTGGAGTTGAAGAGATGGACTAAAAAAATTGAATTTTTGTGGCCGAAACCCAACTAAATCCATTATTTACAAGTAATAGAAGAGACTAGTAACTACCTTATATTTCCATATTTTATTTTGTACCACAACCGTGTACTAGGATTGTTTGAAAAAAAAATATAAAACATAAAATAATAAAAAACACACATGTTGTATAAAAGTGTAAAAATAACATAATTTTCAAGTTTCTCCTACTTAAATTCAATTTTTGTAAGATAAATAATCGAGATGAAGGGGAGTCAGAATAAAGGGAATGTCCATTTAAATAATGTAGATAAATAATCGAGAAGAAGGGGAGTCAGAATGAAGGGAATGTCGATTTAAATAATGTAGAGAACAACTACATTTTATTCATTTAATTTAATAATAAATATAATTTTGGAGTAGATCAGATTAAGCAAAAATATATTATATTAAGCAATCCGATTTGTTTTTGATCGATTTGGGCAAAGATTATTGGAGGGCAAAAAATCTTTTTAATTATGTCCGAACCTATTTATTTTGGAATATAATTGTATTAACTTTTTGCGAAGCAAAAGCCGAACCATGTAATGTTGCCAAAGATCATGTAATATTCTATAACTATTTGAATGTATTTCTATAGATATTCTAAAATGATTTAAATAATTTATACCAAAGATCATGTAATATTCTATAACTATTTGAATGTATTTTTATAGATATTCTAAAAAGATTTAAATAATTTATTTTTCATGTTGGATTGAAAAGATATAATATGCAAGTGGTTATATATGTGTCCAATTTATTTTTGTAAAATTATAGTATTTTTTTTTAATTTAAACTATATACAAAAGTTATTGTTTACATTAATTATATAAATAAAATAATATATAAAGCTAATTTTTTTATTTTGGTATTTCGTGAATTACGTCGAAGTGTAATGTTGCCAAAGATCATATAATATTGTATAACTATTTCAATGTATTTTTTATAGATATTCTAAAAAGATTGAAATAATTTATTTACTTGGATTGAAATGATATAATATGCAAGTGGCTATATACGTGTCCAATTTATTTTTATAAAATTATAGTATTTTTTTAATTTAAACTATATAAAAAATTTATTGTTTACATTAACTATATAAATAAAATAATATATAAAGCTAAATTTTTTATTTTGTTATTTCGTGAATTACGTCTAAATTTTTATTATAATATTAAGCAAAAAATCCTATTTAATTTTTATTTTGGTAAAAATCCTATTTACATGACATATAAGAATTTTATTTATTTTGGAGTTGGATTTTATTTTAAACAATTAGGGAATGTATCCGAATCAAAAGCTGAAGCATGTAATATTGCCAAGTAAATTTCCCAAGCATGCGAGACAGCCATTTAGGCTCAGCACATTTTGAAATTATATGAAGAGGGATAGTAAGACTATTCGCGTGTTTTGATTTTTAAAATATTAATAAATGAGACTATTTTAATATTTATTTTAATTTATATTTTACAAATGTATGATTTTACGGGTAAAAAAAAAAATACATTTGGGATGAAGTAAGGCAGGGTAGGTTGGCTTGCCTCGGTACGGGCCAGGTTGCGCGGGCTGATCTGCTGGACTCGTCGTGGTCATGGACAGGGCGGGTCTATGGGGCAGGTGCACGAGCCAGGTTCGTGTCAATAACTACCCATCCCGATCTGATCCAATGTCATCCTTAATGAAATCGTTGCAAAATAGTGTTGCTAAATGCATAATTACGACGCTATAAAAAAGTGTTGCGCATTAAAATTTATAAACGCATAAATTTTTTGTCATTAGAATTCGTTACAACGACGCATGTAATAAAGAGTCACATTAAAATTTACAACGCACATGTAGTGCGTCACCAAAATTTATAATGATGACGCACTAAAAAAACATTGAACATGATTATTACCTAGTAATACATACGCGAATGTCTTGCGTCACAAATTTTACAAAAGTGACGTATTTATAAAAGGTCACACATGACACATGAAAAATTACCTACGCCAAAGTCTTGCGTCGCAGATAATTTCATGACATCAAATTTAACAACGCAACTCGCGATGCTTTCAATAGCGTAGGTAATATTTGTGTGACGCTAAAAAACGTCATTAATTATACAAAAAAGAAAAAATAAATTAATTATACAAAAAAAAAATAATAAGTGTCAGTCAAACGCTTTATTTCTTGTTGTGGACCAACATTAAAAAAACAACATTTTTAATATACTTAGTAGATTGAATTGACATTTTTAATATATCTAAATGTTTAATAGATTGATTTTATGATATCTTAAAAACATAATAAAATAAAATACTTTAATAAATCTTGTTAGAATTTTAGGTACCGAAAATTTCAGATTTTCACCCAAAGATCAAAAATAAAATACGCAGCAGAAATAAATAAACACGAAAGATTAAAAGTTTAGC